AATAATACCTGAAAAGCAAATCAAATAAATAAACAGTGAATTAAATGAATGAATGGATGAGTGAATGAAAAATGAGATGAATTTACAAATGAATTATGAAATGAATGAATAAAATAATACAAAAAAAGCGTTTCAATGAAAATGTAATGACAATTATTAGCGACAAATCGGACCACAAATTCAAATCGGATTTAAGTGTTAATAAAAATCAATAATAATAATAGTTTCGGCAATCAATGGATGTGTCGATTACTGCAAATCATGTTTAATAACTCACTCTTTATTAACAATATTTAAATCATTTGTATTTAGCATTAAATCCATAGACATATCACACAAACAGTCGACACAATAGTTGTCTTTCAATATAACGTTAATATAGTTTTTGTTATCAATTAAGCCGTCAATCAAACCATTAATTATAATTCAAACCAATGTTTCATTGCATTCAACAGTTAAATGCAAATCTCATTCAAATATTGCCACAAATAATAAACACATTATTATAATAATCACTAATTATAATAACAAACGATATGTTAATAGCGTTTATAAACTACACGTCAAAAGCGTTGACTCAATAATAAATTGCAAATTAATAATTGATTACAAATTGCAATCAAAAGTCACTTCAATTGTCGCACAATAGCCGCAAACGTACGGAACGGAAGGCACTCAACGACTGATTGGGTTGTTATAAATACACCACTTTTTCGACCCATTATTTACATTACAAATGCATAGAAAAACTGTTACTAAAACTCTATGAAAACATATCGCAAAATAAAAGTTTACTTTATTTATACTACAAATCAATTATGTCTACTAAAAAGGCGCTCTCTTTGAGTATCGAATAACGCTTTAAATATACTCAACACTCGCTGTATAGCGAGTCCGTTGTTTTCCATATACTAAAAGTACAGTAACGCCATACAAATACCGCTACTATTCTATAAGCGTTGCATAGCTTTTATATGGCGACAAGTATTTGGCCGTAATTTGTGTGTAAACCCAATGCAATGTGTGGTCACGTGTGAGCACAGGTCGTGTCTTAACATCCCTTTCCGTTTTGAACGCTTAACGCGAGTGTTGTTTGTATTGTCAGTCAATTGGCTTTAAATCGCGATTTAATTCACATCAATGGCTACGTGAGTATCACCGCAGAGCTGATCCACCACTCGGTGGTCATCGCTGTCTATACCAACGCTTATAATGGCTTAACTAATGATATAATGGTATGGTTTAGGGCGACGAAAGAGTCGGTGCCGTCAGTGCAAGTGTTTGGCCGCAAGAAGACGGCCACAGCTGTGGCCTACTGTAAACGGGGCAACGGTCTGATCAATGTTAACGGCCGCCCGTTGGACAACGTGGAGCCACAGGTGCTTAAGTTCAAGCTTTTGGAGCCCATTCTGCTCTTAGGACAGGACAGGTATGTGTTGTTGTCTGATCTGATCCGATCCCACGCACAGCACGTGTGACCATCAGTTTAATTGTTACCAATCTATTAACGCATAGATTCTCTGGCGTTGACATCCGAGTGCGCGTTCGCGGCGGTGGACACGTGGCCCAGATTTACGCCATACGACAGGCCATCTCTAAGGCGTTGGTCGCCTACTATCAGAAGTATGTGGACGAGGCCTCCAAGAAGGAGATCAAAGACATTCTCATCCAATACGACCGAACACTACTGGTATCTGATCCCAGACGATGCGAGCCCAAGAAGTTTGGCGGACCCGGTGCTCGCGCCCGATACCAAAAGTCTTACCGATAAAATTGCATTGTTTGCTATTTTTACGTGAAATTTAATGGCAAATTGATTAAAAAACTAATTTTAAGTTTTGATACAAGTCTTGAAATATTTCTTTATAAATGTGTTGATATTTCACTTGATATAGTATTTCAGTGCTGTTTATCCCTTCACTCCTTTCCTTCATTTGATTGCTATTTCAAATGTCATCACTTTTGTTGTTATTTTAATGATACCATTAATACACAATTTGTGTGCAAAATATGTGGTAATTATATTGTTTATAGTGTATGGAAAGGTATATATGGGACCAAACATTTGTAAATACCTTTTGGTCGGTGTGGGTGTGAGTCGACCGAACTCTAATCCGGGTCCGGCAGTGCAGCCACCGGTGCGACAATAACTTCTTAAACACCTGTGATAGTCGGCGGCTGTGGCCGTATGGCAACCGTTATCTTCACTTTGCATTGCGTTTGACAGCGATTTAAACAGTATTTGAATTGATTTTCAGATAAGTTTATAGCAATGTATTGAAAGTTAATCATAACTGCGTTTTTCGAAGTGAAAAAGCGATTGAAAAATATATGTCAAAAGTTTGATTTAAAGGGTCTTTTCATATATGGTTTGTTCACTGTATTGGAGTTGTTGTGTATGTGTTGTGAACACCAACGCAAACATTTCACAGCCTTAAGTGTTTTCATCCAAAATACCATACATTATATAATAGGTATTAAATCTCGCACTTGTATCACATTTACAATAGCTTTGGTTAAACCAAATTGGTTTACATCTACTGTCAGTACACTTTAGACACTATCAGTAGATGTAAATGAAATGCAAATTCCACATAAAAAAGTTGACGTTATCTTATAATAAGTGCATAAACAGTAAATCACTTATCCATTTGTTAATTATTGTTGAAATTATTTAAGTTTTAAATAAGTTTTGCGTAAAATATACACACAATTTGACGTTAAATGTAGCGATGATTTAGACGCTGAAAATATATTTAGGGAAATATTTTTATTTATAGCAATGTTTTCAAGAATAATATAATGAGTCATAAAATTTATGTAACAT